TTAGTAGCATACTTTTCCTGGAAGAATCAGCCTCATCTAAGTTCCTTTTCGGGCAAGAATCCATGTGCCTCAACATTGTCTTAGTGCCATGACCACCAACATAAATATGATTACACATATTACATTGACCTTTAGTTTTCTCATCATTATCGGTAGATAACTTCGTAAAGTGATCCCAAACTTTTGATGTTTGTCTTCTTTTACGTTTAGAAGTACTCTCATCATCACTACCATCATCAGGGATGCTAAATTGATCATTTAAAGATATGATCGCTGAAAAAAATAATTTAATAGCACATCAATTTTGGTAGTAAACACATAATAAAGTGGAATATAAATTGCAAAATAAACAGGAAATAAACAGGCAAAATAAAATAATGCAAGGACTATGATCAGAGAAACCAGGGGGCGGTAGTGAAATAAGACATTTGATCATATTAAACCCCCTACATCTTAATTAATTCTATATTAGACCCTCAAATTTCCATATTTCTGAATTAGACTATGACAAAAACACAAGTGGAAATACAAGGGTCAATTGAAAGTAGCATACAGTAATCCAATATCCTCACACTTGTGGGAATAAGCAACAAATATCCCTCCTTTTGTTTAAGCAACAAATATCAAGTCACCCATTCGCCATTGATAAGAACTCTGTCCAACTTGCAACAAATATCAAGTCACCCAATTTCTCAAAGCAAAACCATAGATAAAAATGGCAAAGAAAGATAGAGAGGAGCATTTATCCTCCACACAACAGTGTACAAGCTAAGAAGTAACAATGACAGTGAGCCTGAACTAACAACAATATACATATATAACTTATCTACTAAAAAAGAAAACCATAGTGAGTTTGGGAAGAGCCTTGAGACTAGAATTGGCAGCTACTCGTCCCACATTAAATTCAATTCATCCATCATATACAAAATTTTTGATAAGTACTCAAATAGAATTCCATAAATTTTCATAATTTTTAAGGAAATTGATAAAATTTAGAGTCTAGACAAACAAAAAGAAACCTACTATATAACCCTTAAAACAAAATGCTGGAGTACCAAGCTACCCATCAGAAATTTATTCAAGATACAAGCTAAACTTCACTGATGAAAGGGCATAAACAAAACCATACTAAACTTCACTGATGAAAGGGCATAAACAAAACCATACTTAGAATTTAGATAGAAAATTTGACTGAATTTTATAGAAAGATTTGAGATTGGGATTCACTTGAGAGAAAGATTGCTATCGCAAGAAGTGGCGGCGACTTCAGTGGCGACTTGAGGCGGCGGAGACGGGGACTTCAGCGGCGACTTAAGGCGGCAGAGGCGGCGACTTCAGTGGCGACTTGAGGCGGCATCGGAGGCTCTGGGTTCGAGAGGCGATTGATGTGGCGGAGGAGGAGGGATTGGGGTCGGAGGCTCGGGTTCGAGAGGCGGTTGAGGCGGCGGAGGAGGATCGATTGGCGTCGTAGGTTTTGGGTTCGAAAGGCACTTGAGGTGGCGGCGGAGGAGGAGGAGGCGGAGGAGGAGGCGGAGGAGATTGGGATCGGGATTGAGGTGGAGGAGATTGGGATTGAAGCGGAGGAGAAAGAGGAGATTAGGAATTTGGGATCGGTCTGTTTTGGTTTTGGGAATACGGTGGGCAGGCAAACGGGCGAATAAACACTGCCCATTTAGTGCTCATTTAGAATAATGTAAAATTAACCCGCCCAATTAGGCCCATTTAATTAAATGGGTGGGCGTTGGGCGGGCCAAATGATGGGCGGGTCAGGTGGGTAAATGGGTATGGGCCAAAATTGATAACATGGAATTAACATATAGAAGTCTACAATACATACCATGCAAACCATATTACCATAATCAACATCAGAATGTATACATGCAAATCCAAACACATTCATCCATATTGTACCACAAAAGATGGGCATAAGCAAGCCTGCATTCTACAATCTACATTTCAAAATATGTACATAAGGTGTGTTATTGGCAAAAACAAAAAACAATTATGTAGAATTGTAGTCATGATCATCAGAGGTCTAGGAGGGAAAATTATATGTCAATTGTATCATCGTTGGTTGACTTTTACTTAGAGCGCTAAATACGATCTCACCATTCTCCCCTTGTCATAAACCATACCCTCCACTCTGCCTCTCGCTCTACTTCTTCCTCCATCACTTCTTCTACCTCTTCCTCCTTCATTTGTAGTAGGTGTAAGCCTTCTTCTTTTTCACTTAATATTGATGCTGAATTGGGAACATTTGTTTAGTAGGGTGTCTTCTTCTAAAACTCCAATCCTATTCTTGCTTCCCCTTAGGTCTACCCTTCTTTCCTGTAATATGTTCCTTCTTCAGCTCTAATTGATTGTGATTCCTAGAAGATGAATACAACCAATAGATTGTGCACATGAATATATAGACAACAAACAAATAACTTGATAGTATATGGTACTTGTGCAACAACAAATAAATAGTGTACATGAATATAGAAGCAATAAACTATTAAGTTACCTGTGAAGTTTGCTCTCTTAGTGGGTCAATAGGGCATCCATGTAAATTATTTTTTCTCAGCAATCTTTCTCTCCTTCCCTCATGTTGATGCTTAAATTCATCAAAAAATCAAAACCCTCACTTGCATCATCATCATCAAATTCCTCTCTAGGGTCAATTTTATAATTTTTATCCTCCACAAAGTCATCACTTTCACTAGATGATGACGATTGTTATTGTACGTTTGAGGTTTTATCAAGTGGAACTAAAGCTGCCTCATGGATTACTCTATCATTTGAAGTAGCAACATTTGTTGACTTTCTGTTAGGTCTTAATTTTCTCCTTCTAACCACGTCATGCATGTTGGTCTATTTTATATGAGTTGAGTACATGATGAGTATCTTCATGGACCTGAGCCTCACTTAGAACATCTTCTTGCACTAGAGCATCAACTAGGATATCTTCTTCTAGGACTTGAGCATTAGTTGAGACATCTTCTTGCACCTATAGTTGTAGGTTATCAGATAAGAAATCTAATCCGCACTTGAGCATTACTTAAAATATCTTCTTGCACCTGAGCTTGACTTGGTTGAGTTATTGGTTGACTAACACTCTCTAGTAATAAGACTTCGGATTTATCTAATTCAATAGCCCCATCTATGCCATGATCAAATCCTCTATCGAGTTATCCCTTTCTGCATGTTCTACCATATTTTTTTAAGGAATTTTATGATTTTAAACACTTCAAGTCACCATTGCCCAAGCCTAAACTAGGAATGTTGTAGTAGAAACACTCCACATTTTTATACCCATATGCTCATATAATATCTATCAGCATTGCTATATTCAGAGCTTCTTTCTCTATGAATACAATATCAAATCTACCATCACTATAATATTCCATAAGCCAATTGCAAAATGCCCTCCACGTCAGATTTTGACCATAACATTGACAACCATCTACATATAATTTAACCTACATTACTCACAAAGAATCACATATAAATCACACACGAAATCATAGTAAACCCCCTAATTTATATAACAATAATCCAATAAACAACAATTACAACAGTAATTAACATACACAAACACAATATACCTACAAGTAGATGAGATTTCAATTTGAACTCTTACAAGTTATGAAACACTAAACCTTCATTTTGAAGTATATTCGATCATCTTCAAGAGTTCAATATAACTCAAAGTTTATACTTGCACATTTTATACAACTAATCAGTTTAGCATTGATTTTAACATGAATGAAATATTTATACAACTATTTGTTTGCATGAACAAAGATGGGAGAGCAAAGAGAAAAGGAAAGCTTAAAAAAGAAAAAGAAGAAGAAGAAGAAAGCAATTAGTCATTTTTTTTCTTCCATTTTTCACTACCCTAATATGAGAGAAAATTAACATGAAACTATGTCTATTTTTTTTCTTTTTCCACTTGCCGATTGAAAGAAAACATAAATTCCTGACTTTCATCCTTGCTCTTCTAAATTACAACCAAACAATTGTTCAAAAAAAATGCAACCAAATAAAGGTATTGTATAATTTCTAATTTGTTCACTTGAAATATCATCATTGTACATTATACATCATGTTTGAAAAACCCCAAATTGCAACCTGGGGGGGGGGATGGACCCGTAACTATCACAAATAAAAAACATCGTACCAAATCTAGGTTTCGGTTCCAGAAGCACCCATAATAAACATTATTAACACTAAATTCATCAATTTGTTTTTATTTTTTTGAAATTTTAGAATCACCTTTGCACCAAACTATAGTGCACAAATCACTGCAAAATTGGGGGCTTTACGAGAGAAGTAGGTCGACGAAATCACTATTGAGAGGATCATCATCATGGAGAACTCTCCAATTTGTGAAGCAATTGTATCTCCTCTCACATGATCAGAGAAAGGGGGGAAAGATGGGAAAGGAGAAAATTTTAGGGCTTTTTACTAAGTTAGGGTAGTTAAAGAACTCGCATATACAGTCCACCTCAGTAAAAAAAAAAGCCACCTAGACATCGCATGACTTGCTTACTTGACTAACCAATGCCAAAAAAGGGCTCTGATCAAAATTTATGCCTAATTATCGTCAAACTCTTGTTCTAATACTTTATTATCGCTAGGTAAATAAAATATACCAATATGATCATTAGGTGTAGCAAAATATATTAATTTGATAATTTAGCACATTGGAAAGCGATATGAGATTTACTTTCCTCTTTTTGTAAGTATATTTCCTTGTTGTTTTTTAGGAATTACGTTTATATCTGTTTGGAGTCTAATAAACTATTCATATCTTTATACATGAGTGTCAAACATTATTTTTATTTTTATTCTCACTTCATATCTCAACCAAACAAGATAGGTGGAATTTAATCATTGACTTTCCCCTTAGCCCCTCCCCTATTTTTTTTTCTTTTTGAGCGGGGCAACCACCCATCCAAAATTCCAGCCCGTACCCACTTGCATCAAAGAATCCACAATTTCCTACTTCATCGAGGGGATTTTAGCAAAACTCTCCTACCTCGTTCCTCGCGGAGACCTCACGGCTTTCGAACTCCAAGCCCCTCGATCGATCGATCGATCGAGATCAAACGAAAGCGAAAAGAGATGGACGATCCCTTCATCCAAGATCACGACGCCTCCGAGCTCGAGATCGCTCGCGAGTTCCTCACCAACTGGCTCCCCTTCCTCACTCGAGATCTCTGCGATCGCTGCTCTCAAACCCTAGCGGACCGCGTCCGGTCTCTCCGTCAAGGTCCCTCTCTCATCTCCAAACCTAGGGTTTTTCGGTGTTCTTGCTTCTTTACTCACAGATCTATTGCTCTCAGATTCGATGCGGTCGGAGTCTCCGAACTTCACCGAGCAGATTGAGCCTAGCGGATCCCCAAGCCGTAGTCATCGAGATTCTCTTACCCCAGGTGCTTGTCCCTTCGAATCTGCCGTTTCTTCGCCCTTTTTGCTTATTTTTTAATGGTTTTCCTCCCTTCTGTAGATCCAGTAGAGGAATCTCCGAGTTGGAGCGAGCATATAGAGCCTAGCGGATGGGGAACGGATCCTGAAATGGAACCGGATCGGAGTTCGGGCTCACCGAAGGTTCGGATGTCGTGGGCAGACATGGCACAAGAGGAGGACGAGCTAGCCGAGGAAGAGGAGAAGGCGAGAGAGACGAGCGAGGAGGCAAAATATGAAGGGAAGAAGAAAGTAGAGCTGCCAAGGGAGCAGAGGGAGTGGATTAGATTCCAGAACGTTGGGAGGAAAAAGGACTTTATTTCTTTGGAGAGGGTGAAGGGGAAGATTGTTAATATTTTGGATGGGTTGGAGCTGCACACTGGGGTTTTTAGTGCGGCGGAGCAGAAGAGGATTGTGGATTTCGTGTATGAGTTGCAGGAAAAAGGGCGGAAATCGGAATTTAGAGGTAAGGTTTGAATATTTTTTACGCTATCTCTTTGCCTATCTGATTATTTGTCACACCTCAACTGTTTTAAGTCATAGGAATCTACACGTGATTTACATATAGGAATCTACACATGATGCCTTCTTTGAGTTGTGGCATACAAATCATACACTGTGAAGTATTGTTAAAAATATACGACGATGAAGACTATCCAAAAATTTGGGGTCTGCTACACAAATCATACTCTTCGATTTAGTTTTGTTTAGGCTACCTCTCCCGTTTACGTTAATCATTATCACATACTTCTTAATTGCTTAAAACCAAGTTGTTGAGCCTACCTCGAACCCTCGTTGCTCTTATCACCTCTCTAATGAGTGCATCTTGTGTTCTCCCGCATGCGGTCAAACCATCTCAATCGACTTTCTCTCATTTTATTCTCAGTAGGAGCAACATCTAGCCTCCTAATAATGCACATTTGTTATTTTACCTTTAAATGTCTATCCACAGCTCCATCGCAACATATCATTTTGCTACACTCATATGTGTGAAGTATTGTTAAAATTGGATTTTTGTGTTGATCTCCTCTTTAAGAATTATGTCATCGCGTGATTTCAATGTTGTTCTTATAATATTTTTTGTTAACATTTGAACTCATCACTTGAATCTATTAGGCAAATCATTCAGCTGTCTTCCTTTCTCTTTTCACAGTTGAAACATCAACTACACCATTGCTTTTAGTAATTTAATATAAGTTCCAAACATTAAACTCTTTAGAAAGAAGCTTGGTTCCTCTTGCAACCTTACCAGTCTCTTGATTCCTACTTTAACTATAAGCTACCATAACTACTAATTATGATTTGGCAAATGTGCGGTGCCTCATTCTTGATATAATGCATTGTTTGAAGCTCTCTCAACAGTGCAATTGACATTAGTCACTAGTAGAATTAATAATTCAACTCTTGGTAGGAGTTGCAGAGACTATGAATATGATCTGCATTCTACAATATGAGATTGCCTAGAATACTTTCTTAAAATGATATTCATGGTGTTCTGGCAATTAGTTCAAGTGAAATAGTATTGAGGCTATGACTAAAATCGAGAACTAGAAACTAATAAGTTTCAATGAAGTATATGTAATTTCATCCCAAATTTACCTCCAATAATCTGGATGCAGGAATTTTCCTTCATAAAGTTGAGGTTTTTTTTATATATTGGTCCCTTTAGTTAATCCTATTTTGATATTTTTCCCTCAAATCTTTGCAATTGTTATTTAATACCTCAATTTATTTAAGTCAAGTCAGTATAGCAAGTACATAGATTTCATCCAAATTTGAAGGAATATTTCTTTTAACTGTAACAATGTTATGCGTCATTTCCATTATACCCTTGGTGTATACTGATAAATTAAGCAACTCAAAACCCAATAAAGCCAAACAAATTTATACTTTCATTTTGCCTAAACCCAATCTAAACCTAATCCTATATGAAACTCATCAATCTTGTTTTCGAATAGTCTAGCATTATCGCAAGTGCTTTCTCTTTTAAACAGGAAATCGTCGTTTTGTTTATCATCTACTCTTTCATAACCTAGTGAACTATAGTTTCTCTTAATTTTTATCTCAAGCATCTTTCTCTCTGTCAATATTTTCTTTATTAATTTTCCTTTCTCCTCTTAAAAAATCATCAATATTTTAATTTTGAGCATTGAGTATTTGAATATTTTGATTTGGGTTAAGGGAAAATTTAGACTCTCCTTTTTCCTTTGCTTGAGGAGAAAGAATGAGTGAGGAGAGGGTGAGAGGGAGGGGGAGTGGGAGAGGAAGGAAGAGAGGAGAGATCCCTAGCTAAGGAAGAAAAAGATTAACTAAAGATATTTTGGTAATTGACTACGCCTAGGAAGTTTTTCCCTAACTATGGTTAGTTAATTTTACAAAAATGTTAGCACAAGGACTAATTTGATATAACTTAAATAAATTGAGTGAAAGATTTGAGGAATCAATATAAAAATAAGAGTAATTAAGTGATTGATCTCTAAAAAAATCCTCAAGTTTAATCAAAAGAATAACCTCGATATGGTTCGAGCTTGTCAGCCATGGTTTAGCGTATCAACAGATTAGATATGATTTTTTATCTGGTCCATAACCCTAAGTTGGCACCCTACTCCTTGCTTCTGCCACAACTTCAGCCTGTTAACTTCCAAATAACACATTACAGTTTTTGAACATTAAATTCATGTAATGCTGTTACATAATGACTCATAGAAGGTACTCATATTCAAAGTATAAGCTCTCTCAAGTATATGCAACTGACGTTACTGTTAGGTTTGTAGTCTCGAGGAAAAACAACGGCAAAATAGCGAAATTAATATATTTTGTAGACACTTGGTGACAGAATGATATATTTTTTTGACTTTTGACAAATTTGTATATTATATACTAAGGCGTCATATACCCCTTAAGTTTGGTCGGATCTATTTTTTCGGTTAGTTTTCTCACGTAACAGGCTTACGTGATGCCTAACTGGCAAGATTTATTGCACAAAACACCCTCATCAAAAAACCTGCTCCTAAACCCCCCGCCCCCTCCTCCCTCCTCCTCCTCCGTCCCCCGCTCGCCTGCTCCCTCTCATTCATCTTTCAAGCAAGTGGTCAGTCATCATGATCATCATCAACAACGGTCTCCTCTCAAATCCAACCTCCATCAACAAATGACCGCCAAAGTCGGATGCCCATCATCCCTCATAGGCTCCGACGTCCTCATCGCCCTCCAGAGAGCAGCTACTCTAAAAAAGGAGAAGAAGAAATAGCAGCAGAGGAAGCAAAAGACTGCGAGGGGGAAAGAGGGAGGTGAAAGTGAGGATGAAGAATTTGAGTATGACAATGTGAGACCCATAATCGTTTGTAGTGATTGGAAGGAGAGGATTGATGAGCTGGAGACCCGAGTTCAAGAATTGAAGTCTCGGTATCATTATTGAGTTTGAGAAAATTGATTGTATAGAAGGTGTTTGATGAAATGCTTATATGGGTTTCCATCACTATTGTTAGTTAGTTAATTACATATCATTTCGTTTCTCTTCATGGCTTCTTCTTGAATAATTAACAGATGAATAGAAGGTGTCTAGCTCAGTGTTTCAGTTCGAAGGATGCTCAGGATTCACATCATGTTTTTTGAAGATAACATTTTGATGAATCATTGATTTGATTTGTGTTTCTTGTTAATGCATCTTTTGTGAGCTAAGAGGAGGAAGAGAATGGGGTAAGTGCAGTGTTGGTAGCGGCAGCAAGGTAATGGTGGCAGCAACAATGATGATGACAAAAGAAAATAATAATTATAGTGAAGACTTGTGATGTCGGCAATCACATGCTACAAATACAATCGCACTTTGGAACAAGGATGACAATAGTGTTGCTGGTGATGGTGAGGATGATAATGACATTGTTAATGTGAAATGAGGTATTGTCATCAGTGGCAGGGGCTATAGACCATGAGGATAATTGTGTTGTTAATGAGAACAAAGATGTCCCAAAAAGGATTGTAAAGGATGAAATTCTGGATGGCATTGGTCCTGTTAATCATGGATGTTAAACAGAAAGTATATCAAACAATTATCTTCTAATGGATAGGAGGAATCCTAAACATTGAACTCCTTGTACTACACCAGAAAATGAAAGAGGATGAAAACTTTCTTATCAGAGACAGAGAGAAGTATGTGGACACATTTTAGTGAACTTGGGGGCATGAACATCGCGGCGGCGGCGGAGGGAGGGGTGGTGGATCTGGTGAAGGGATCGACGGGAGAGACGGTGGATGCTGCGGAGGAGATGATTCAGGTCGCGCTCCTGTGCTGAGCTGGCGGGTGTGCGGGTGTGGGTGATGGGGAGAGGTTGAAGAGGATGAGGAGGAGGGAGAGGGGAAGGAGGAGGATTGGTTTTTAGGAGCATAGTTTTTTGAGGAGGGGGGTTTTGTGCAATAAACCCGTCAGCTGGGCATCACGTGAGTCTGTCACGTGAGAAAACTGGCCTGAATAATGGATCCGGCCAAACTTAAGGGGTATATGGCGTCTGAGTCTATAGAATATACCAATTTGTTAAAAGTCAAAAAAATATACCATTTTGTCACCAAGTGTCTACAAAATATACCAATTTGGCCATTTTGCCGAAAGACAACCTTTTAATATCTTCCACAATTATAAAAATTGGAATGGTCAGGCTTTGAGTTGAGAAAGCCACTTGTACTCTTATGGAGTATGAATTTGGTAGAGAGAAGTTTGATTGGTTAATTAAACACGTGGAGCCTGACGACTTTCTTTTTTAGATTTGGTACCTACAAGGTATTTATTAAATTGGGTGAGAAAACTTTTGACTGATTGTTCAACCATAGAGTGCCTGAGAAGTTATAGGTGATGCATTTGAGATGTGCTTTTCTTGTGCTTTATGGTATATTGACATTGTTTGGTACATCTGGTCTAGTCTTTTTCAATGTTTCTTTTGTTACTTATGATTTGTATTAGTCCCACTGGATTCATGAATAATATAGGGGTTTTCCATCTTAACAACTGTTTTCATGCTGGCATAATAGACTACTAGTGCTAATATATTTAATGGGTTCCAGATATTTCAGAACTAAGGATAAATTACACGTAAACACCCTATTATTACCTGATATTGTACCGAAATACCGTAAGTTTAAAACGCTACACTTAAGTTTCTGAAAAATTGCACTTTGGTACACTAATTAGGGTATTAAAGTGTAATTTTTAAAAACTTTAGGGTATTTAAGTGTAGGGTTTTAAACTTAGGGTGTTTTGGAGCAATATCGGGCAAAGAATAGGGTATTTAAGTGTAATTTACCCCAGAAATAACAAGGGGTTTAAGCTTTTAGGATAATATCCTGGTCAATTCTGTGTGATAATCGTCTGATTAAAACGAAAACTGTATACCATATTAGATCTCGTGTGTAGTAATGAGTCTAATGACTTCCTAATCTATTTTGTGATAAATTTCTGATTAATACTGAAAGCTCTACACTATAATAAATTTAGCTTCAATAGAGGAAAAAGCACTGTGTTATAAACTACTTGATAGATACAATCCTAGAACTCATTCTCATTGTACACTATCATTTTCTAAGTCCTTTTGATCTTCTCCGTCACAATATTTCAGAATAACTCAAGGAAAGAATGCTGGGACCTTGCTATGGTTGTAATGAAGAATAAAGTGTAAAAAACCTATTGGCTGGAGGGCCATTCAGGTTTAGCTTCTTGGATCAACCATAAAAAAAAAAACTATTTTGTTTCTCAACCGTTTGATGTCAAGGATAAATTGCCAAACCTCTGTACCGTAAGAATACCTATCATTTAACGGACTCTTCTTCAAGACCTTTCTTTCATTGTTTGGTGTATTCTCCATTCTCTATTATTAAGTCATGTGACGCGCACACGACATACTAGAGTCTTGAGAGTCCAAGCACTCGAGTTATATTTTCAATTAAAAGCGTTGTATGATGTTTAACTTCCACTTATCTCTCTTTTATTCCATTCGCACGATAGGTCTTTGGGGCTTTTATAGTTCTCTGGGACTTCCGGCATTCCCTTATTCTCATACCAACTCGAATCATTTTCCTGTTTTAAGCCCTTTAAATAAAATAAGTCACTGAATTCTATTTTTATCTTTTAAAGATTCCTCATTCCAAACCAGATTCCTCTTAACCAAATCCCAACACATAATGGTCATTCCTCCTTTCCTTCAAGCAACATTTATTGCCTCCACTCTCCAGTAAAGCTCCCTGAATTCAGCTCATCACCAATAAATGTTATCAGCAACTGCATGTGAAACTTCTATTCCTTGTAAAGAGCACTTTATCACGTGCTCGGTCTTTGACGTCACTTTTGTGGATCTTTGTAATTCTTTCTGATTGTTGGATGATGGTGTGTACTTTTCACTTCATTCCAACTGTATTTTTGGCTGTAACTTTTTTGGCGGGTTTCCCATCTGCTGATTTCTATAACTTTTTTAGGTCACACAATCTGAAGTAACTACTAACTATACATCGTTTTTCTGCAAACATTTCTTATCTTTCTACACATTGGACTTATCCTATAGTGTTACCTACCTCATAAATTACCATCTATCTACATAACAAATTGCTTAATTTATGTTTTTATTGTGTGCGTGTATTTCCTTCATTATCTTTTCAGATGTCGAATTGGGTAACTTTCAGCCTTTCGGTATCTAATCAAAGCTAATATTTCCACATTATTCTTCCACAGTACGTTTTGTTTGCTCCTCCTTGTGACAATCTAAAGGAGCTTCAAGTTCCATCAACTAATTGTCTAATACTAATTCGAGGGAGTAAACTAGTGTTCTATTTGGCTGGTTCATAATATTGATTTCTCACTTTAGCATATCATATGTAGCTTTCAGCAGCCTATGCTACCTACTACAGGTAAGCAACCTGCACTTTGCCAAACCCTCCCAGCTTCTCCTTGCACTCATTTTCAACCAACCCGATATGAGAAAACATAATAAACTGTGTTGGTCAGATCACCTTCATGCTGTTCTTTTGAGGTCATCTAAAAATGTTGTGATTATTTTGCGACGTGGGGATTTAATTGATTATAGTGTGAAGGAATCAAATCAAAGACACTATAGGATGGCATATTTCATCAAGCCACTTATTATAATGAATCAGCATTAATGATTGCTTTTGTTACCTATATAATTGTCAAACTTGTTAGTGATTCCATGAAGGATTTCACTCCATGCTAGTTGGGTACTTCTATCTGAAACGCACTCATACCTATGCCTAAGCTCTTTGGACACTCCCTGAATATGTGGATACATTTATTTGGACCTGCACAGCTGCACTAATACATGTTTTAGTTTAAAACACTCATCACACACTTGTTGGACAAATATCCTACACTTCACATTTACTTTATAATTTACATAATGAAAAAACATAAAAATGTTATAGGAATTCTAATTCTCATAACATGTGAATGAGAACAGAACATTGGTCTCATTTAAGTTATTGATTCAATATATTAATATAGCCGTGTCCCTGTACAATCTTTTACAAATTTGCCCAGTCCCGTACCCATACCTGTTTCCATGCAACATAGGTTTCACTTATGATTCTTGCTCACTAACATATCCTAGCCAAGCCCAATAATAACATTTAGTTGTGCAATATGAAAGCTGTTAAGATTTAATGGATGAGTCCTTTACCAGTAAGATATGGCATTACCCGCTAGTAAATAAAATCAATCACTACACGTTGGGTTTCCATTATGTGGACTGCTGATAGCATTTATTTAAAGGTATTTGCTACTTGTAGGCTTAGCTGTGTTCAGGTAGGAACTCTGAATGACATTGTTTATATGAACTAATCACCAACGTAGTACTGGCAGCAGGCATGGAAGTGTTCCTTTACCTGGAATAATTGCCTATGTGGAAGTGGTCCTTTGTGGGTGTTTAACTCTTATTTTATGTGAATGCCTCCATTAACATTACATAATTATGTAGTCTTTTGTCATGTTTCATTTCCTTATTAAATATTTCATCACATTGCTCATCCCTGCCGTCTTCAATTTTAATTAATCAACACATGGTGCAAAATATGTATTTAGATGAGTAATACGTTTTTTTTTATATTTTAGTGTGATAATATTGTTGCTGTGATTATCATGTATATAGTCATTACTGGTTCTCTTGTCCCTACAACTTTCAGTACTGATACTATCATATTGATGAATTCCAAGACTCCCAACTTTTTTTTGGGTAGTTGATTTATGTTTATGGATCAGGGATTTTTCTGAAATAGAAATAATTTTGACTTACTACATGTTATTTTGCATTTGCAATTGTTTTGGTTGCCTGTCAAATAGGTTTTAACTAAATTCAGGTTAAAATGCCAAACATATTGTTTCCAGATCGTACATATTCAGAACCTCAGAAGTGGATGCGGGGGAAAGGACGAGTAACAATCCAATTTGGATGTTGTTACAACTATGCTACGGTATATAATCTTGCACAGGTTTATGCCATTCTACTAGTTCACCTGATAGAAAGCTCATATGCATATTCAAATGGCAGGATAAGGATGGAAATCCTCCAGGCATCCTTCGAAATGTAGTTGCTGATCCAATTCCAAGTCTCTTCAAAGTCATCATAAGGAGATTGGTCCGTTGGCATGTATTGCCGACATCTTGCATACCTGACAGTTGCATAGTCAACATTTATGAACCAGGAGATTGCATACCGCCACACATTGATAGCCATGATTTTGTTCGTCCATTTAGTACAGTGTCATTCCTGAGTGAGTGCGACATACTCTTTGGAAGTAGCCTGAAGGTTGAAGGAGCAGGAGAGTTCAGTGGTTCAACTGCAATGTCCCTGCCTATGGGGTAAGCATTGGACATACATTATGGCTTTTCTAGAAAACAATTATATGTTAGCCTGCTTTTGTCATACTGTATTTAATGGCTGATGTACCTCAAATTCTGGGAAGGAAATACCACAAATTTTCTCACTCACGGGAACTAAAGTAATTATGTCTGGAAGTTAAAGCCAAACTTTTAATTTTTCTGATCAAGGCATATTCCTTTAACTCGTTTGTACAAAACTTAAGGTTGTGGGACTAATAAAATGTCATCTTATTCTATGCCATCATATAATTCAAACTCATACTTGTCATACTCAGATGATGCTTAATTGTAGTGTGTGCGCATCTTGGCTAAATCTTGAATTACCATTTCTATGCAGGTCAGTTCTTGTCTTGAATGGGAACGGAGCTGACGTGGCAAAGCATTGTGTACCTGCAGTTCCTACAAAGAGGTGCATGCCAAATCTTCTTCAATTAGAAAGAGAACAAGCACGTCATATCATCCATAGCATTTATGACAGTTACTAAAACTTATTTCAACCTGCAGGATATCTATCACCTTCAGAAAGATGAAGGAAAGCTTGCATCCAATAGGATTCAGCCCCGAACCAGACCTCCAGAACATCCTGCCACTCACATACAATTTAGCTAGAAGGAACCAACATCATGCGAGTAGTAACAAAAAGCCTAGCTCAGAAGGAAGAAACTTCAACAGAGGTAGGAAATACAGAGGAAAGCCTACTGCTGGGAGCCAATATCAGTCATATGACCATGAAACTACACCTAATGTGAGACCAAGACAAGTTATAGATGCGCGATCTGCATCAAGCGGTGATAATTCAGTGGGAAGAATGTATGAATCGAATCCTAGATTTTCCTCGGAGGAACCAAATGAGAGTGGACAGAGATTGAGTTTAGATCAGAGGCGGTTTGTTGTAAGTCGCAATTTTGAGGGAGACGCAGAAATAAGCAGTCATAGTTTTGATAACTCTCGTGGGATTCTTCAAACACCAAATACTGGTCGAAGGCGGACTAAGGTGGTTATTGATGATGAGTGGCAGTAGGAATTAATATCCAAGTTTTTGTGTTGATCTCAAAAGCTTTGTGGCCATGAATGTTTTTTATGGAATAATGGGTTGGCTCAATTCTTTTCTAAGTCTTTTAATTATATTTCATGGTAATTACACGAGGAAGATGGAGAGTTGCTGGTACATAGAAGGGGATGGTAATGTAATTGTACAAGAAATTATTTTATGATCTGAGTTGCTTTACTTGTATCTTCTGTGTATGTACGACAGTTTTTATGCCATTGACTTTTTTCTTTTCTTTTTTCCCTCCGAAATATAATGGTAATCAACGTCAATTTCACTCAAATAGTAATTGTTCCATACTTCTTGTTTATTGTTCAATTGTGAATCTTTCGAATGTCAAATAGTTCAAAGCAAGTAGCCTGGGTAGTGGGTGGCACATTCTGTTCCATTAACAATTGCAACAAAAGTCACAAAATAATTGATGATATACAAAGCAATCCTCACAAGAAAAAATATATGGTAGGTCTAGAACAGGTTTCTGCATAAAAATATCCCGTTAAGTATTGAAATATAATTAAAAATATGCAATACACTGGAAGCAAGCTCGTCCTTGATTTCAAATGATTTCAAAAATTGAGATCATGGAAAAACATATAAAAAAGAGTATCCACAGTTAATATTTATTCAAGATAAACTGCTAACAGTTGCTAGTTATTCATACATAAGAAACCCGCATTCATGGTAGCATCATATATTCTTACTTTGACTTTTATCATTTTTATCAGCAATTCAATCAGCAGACTAAATTTTCACTTGGGCAGTTATGGTAGAAGCCAGAATAAAATACAGTAAATAGAGCTAAAGATTGAAAATACAAGTTTAAAGTAAAATGGCTATAAGTATCTCCATTTACATTCGGAAACAGAACCAGATAACAAAAGAAAAAACAACAGTACCCAAAATATGGAACTTAACATTTATAACCTACAAAAAAAAAAAAAAAAAATACTCATCACAAATCTGTGTTTTAGATTTCAGAAACCTAATTCCCCTGTGAACAAACTAGCGCAAAAAATCTATATGAACACCTCAATTTGGTTTTAAAAGTCGAAAGCAATAATTTACACAACAATACAATATACAGGAAGCAGCAAGGAAGAAGGAAAAAGCACTTGGTAAGGATTCTCTTCAGCACATTTCTTGCTTTGAAGCCCTCAATGATGGAATTTTTCTCCCAAGACTGCAGATTTTTTTTTAAAAAAGAAGAAAACAGGGCTCAAAGAATTTGCAGAAGTGGGCAATCTGCTGTGTAATGCACATCCCTATGGGAAAAAAAATCATGAATAATGTACAGCATTAAGCTCAAGTTTTCTTCCCCTTAATCATATATTTAAATAATATCTACAATCTGTGAGGATTTCTAACGCCTGAAGGACTTGGAACAGTGGAGCTCATGCTTGCAGTTCTTAAGAGCCTTCTGAACTCTGACAAGCTTATCTTCCCATCTTTATCGATATCAGCCTCCTCTAATAGTGGGTCAATAGATCCCTTCAACCCGGTGTGCTGCATAAAAAACAATAAAATTCTGTTAGAAATTATACTCTGATACTAATGTTTGAATTCTTTATTATTTCATGATTAAGATGTGATTAACACCACCAGAAAGACTGCCTAGTTATTAGCTTAGATCAAGATGATACAGTATACAAATATGCATGTGCCTATACACATAAACATACTTGCCACTTGCACTGCCAAGGTCGAAACCATGCCTTGCTGACTTGAAAATGAGATAATAAGACCACAGCAATAAGTGGTTCACAATGATCACGATCGTCAATCCTAGATATTTATGGATAGAAAATCATAATATTTGATGTAAAGTTTGAGAACTCGACTTTGTTGAGCCTCTCTTCTAGGGGTGGTATTGGTTACTAACAAGGGTCTCAGAAGTCCCGGCCATAGTTACAGTTTCGGTGTCAATGGATTAAACTTTGATGGATTTTTCCACAGAAACCACCTTTAAAATGGGTGACACTATGAAAACCTGATACGAGTCGCCGTGCGAGCACCCTTTGGTCGCGGAATTACCAAAAGGTGGGTTGAGAAGAAGACAACTAAAACACAAGAACAATTCAGTATAGCGAAGGAAAATACCTTCTCTAGATTATGTAGAATTAATTATTACAAATCTCTCCCTCACAATCTTACTAGGATCGAGAACAATCTCTCAATCATCTCTAAACCCTAATACAATGATTAGAATTTCTCTCTGATCTAAGATCTCTAAGATGATGTTTAGAAACCCTAAACAACCCTTTATATAGGTGTACAAACGTGGATGGCAATCTGGTAAATAACCAAGCCCAAAACCAACAGGAATTTGTGTGAACAGAAACCCAAACGAATCAGGAAACTGTCGATGAGTCGACTCATGATCAGTTATGAGTCGACTCATGACCTCATATGAGTCGACTCATAACTGATGAGTCGACTGGTCAGAGACTTTTGCTAACAGTGCTTGATTTCTTGAGTCGACTCATGACAGACATAAGTCGACTCAACCTGATGAGTCGACTCATGTATATGTATGAGTCGACTCACGAGCTGAAAACTGGATTCTTCGAATCTGCTGCTCGTCGTCTCGTTCCACGCTTCCACCTGCGTTTCACTGTACTGTTTTACACCCCTATTCTCATGCTATCATGAGAATCATCTATCCTCAAACTCCTATGAGGATGGCTAAGCTCCCGAGGAGAAGATACACTCATATCATGGGTCCCCTCTTTAGGAACTTGAAGTCACGTTCAAGTTAGAACTTTTGCTGAGGAAACTCTCGAGCTCTTCCATCTTTTCTGCACCATCTGACCTTGCTAGGAATCCGGTCTCGACGTCCGATCGGAAACATCTCATCCATCCCACGTCTCGTCGTAATCACCTTTCGCCCCAAGTTACAATCATTTATCAATGACTTTTCTGGAAGTCTAATGCACAACGAGACAAATTTCTTGCTTGCATTCATTAGTCTCTTCGCTCGCGTCACCGTCTCCAAGCTTGTCTCCCTCGGAAGAGATGCCGAACGAAATATGAACTTTTCACCATCCTTAGTGAATGTGTACTTCTGAGCCCGCCTCTCGTAGATCGCATATCTATCCCATAAGTACGGATTACCCAGTATAATCTGATAAACATCCAATGGAACGACGTCGCATGTGACCTCGTCAATATACGACTCGTGGAGTGCAAATCTGACAGTGCATTGATCAACTACACTCAGTTTCTCCTCCTTCTGAATCTACCCCAATGGATAGGGCTTCGGATGCTTGACCGTTTTCAGACCCAACTTCTGAACCAATGCCTCGGATATCAAATTCTTCTCGCTGCCCGAATCAACAATGACATCAACCAAACTGGTCTTCACTTGCAACTTAAGAACAAAAAGTAGTTCTCTCGGGTCGTCGTCCTCTTTCGTTGTCTGCTTCCCCGCCATAAGGTTGAGACTGCTGTTGGGCTCTGTCATCCCTGGGACTTCTTTCGGACCTTGAGCTATCATGTATGTCTTTTTCTCATTCTTTTTCTTCAACCCTCTTGGCTTGAGATGAGGATACTTCTCCCAGCACCGATCAGCTGTGTGCCCTGTCTTCTCGCAGTGACTACAAATCAGTCCTGCCTTCCCTAGATCACCCTTCTTCTCCTTCTTAGATTAAGAACTACTAGACTCGTCTCCCGTCTGTTTAGAATCTCCCTTAGCCTCGTTGCCCTTCTTTTGCTTGCCCTCGAGGGCAATAGCGTTCACGCTCGCCTCTACAATTGATTCCACCGTGAATAGCTTCATCTCCTTTCGGATGTAATCGCTCAATCCCGTCATATACTTAAACACGGAATATTCCTCTGTCGTAATGTTGAGGATCATCGCCTGCTGCTAAAACTCCGTGGTATATTCTTGAACGGTTTGATTGACCCTTTAGCGCAAGCCGTACCATTTGTACCAACGTTCTTCAAGGAATCCCACCGGGTAGAACTGCTTCCTCAGTAACTCCTTAAACTTGTTCCACGACACTGCTTTCTTCTCCTGCTTACATTAGGATTTCCACCACGTCAACGCGTGCCCTGAAAACTTCAAAGTCACGAACACTATCTTCTCTTTTGACGAATAACCATAAAGAGTAAAACACGTCTCCATCCGTTCGATCCAGTCATCAAGCCTCCCGACATCAACACTCCCATCATAAACAAAAATCTCCACCTTGAAGTCAATCTTCAGGTTCTGATAAGAATTCTTACCCCTTTGATGCAATGCAGCCTTAACGGTCTCCTCCTCGTCGGAATCTGAATCTACTCTCTCCACATCGGACTCGATAATTTTCTTCAAAAAAGATTCACCTTGTTTGTCACCTCCATGGATAAGACTGACGAGTTGTGTGAGAGTCGAACCTATCGTCTTGATCTGCTTCTCCAATGCATCAATCCTCGCTGAATTGTCTCCTTCAGCCATCTTCTCCTTCCTTAAAACCTGAACTCCTTCCAATAAAATAAGGATCTCGCCAAGCTTCTTGTATTGCGATCGAATCAGGACCATACACAGGATGCCCTCTTCGCAAGATCTGATCGCTCTGATACCAACTTGATACGAGTCGTCGTGCGAGCACCCTTTGGTCGCGGAATTACTAAAAGGTGGGTTGAGAAGAAGATAACTAAAACACAAGAACAATTCAGTATAGCGAAGGAAAATACCTTCTCTAGATTATGAAGAATCAATTATTATAAATCTCTCTCTCACAATCTTACTAGGATCGAGAACAATCTCTCAATCCTCTCTAAACCCTAATACAATGATTAGAATTTCTCTCTGATCTAAGATCTCTAAGATGATGTTTAGAAACCCTAAACAACCCTTTATATAGGTGTACAAACGTGGATGATAATCTGGTAAATAACCAAGCCCAAAACCAACAGGAATTCGTATGAACAGAAACCCAAACGAATCAGGAAACTGTCGATGAGTCGACTCATGATCAGTTATGAGTCGACTCATGACCTCATATGAGTCGACTCATAACTGATGAGACGACTGGTCAGAGACTTTTGCTAACAGGGCTTGATTTCGTGAGTCGACTCATGACAGACATGAGTCGACTTAACCTGATGAGTCGACTCATGTACATGTATGAGTCGACTCACGAGCTGAAAACTGGATTCTTCGAATCTGCTGCTCGTCGTCTCGTTTCACGCTTCCACCTGCGTTCCACTGTACTGTTTTACACCCCTATTCTCATGCTATCATGAGAATCATCTATCCTCAAGCTCCTATGAGGATCGCTAACCTCGCGAGGAAAAGATACACCCATATCAAAACCACATTTAAAATTTAATTTATATATAAACCACCTTTATTAAAGAAATCCCATATAGCAATCAACCACCTTGATACATTTTTTTAATGAAATTTCATTTGAAATCCCCAAAAAATGCCCTAAAAACACATGCACCAGACATGTGACATGTCTTACTAAACCAAACCTAAACCTAAATTTTGTGCTGGTATGTGTGTTTTTAAGGGCATTTTGGGACATTTCAATTGATATCTCACCAGAAAACATGCCCAAGTTGTTGATAGCTACCAAAACCCCTTTAAAGGTGGTTTCTTTCTTAATTGAACTTTAAAAATGGCTTCCATATTCTCACCCTATTTTAATGGTGGTTCCTGTGAAAAAGAGAACATTTTTTATTCAAAAAAAAAGTCTGAAATATGGAAACACTGCATTTTATTTGAGAAAACATTACCAAGTGTTGTAAATGTTGCATAATGTACTTGTTAGAACAGATGCAATGCAATTATTTTCACATTTCGCTGGAAAGATAAGTTCAAAAGATATTTTCCTGATTTATTATTGAGAATGTAATGAAGAAGTTTAATATGAAAAAGTTATTTGCTTTTACATCTATCATATGACATTCTATAGGTTAAACGTTTAGCTCTAAAATTCGACATATTAACTTAGAGGTTAGCATATAGAACTAAACAATTTTTCATTTAAGGAAATTCAAATCTATTCAATATATAACATGTCCTCTATTCTTTCTTTATTTCAAGTGATTCACAAAAAACACAGGTTTTCAGTAGCAATGAATAGAACAATATCGGTATCTACAGGCACTCAGAAGAACTAGATTTTCTTCTTTATGCAGATATGAGACATCTCAAATAATAAATGGTATCTATATTAGGAAGGGAGGAAAATGTAGCACAGAGATTGTGAAATGAACAACTCAGGCCAGCTGTTCCATAATTTATGGCGCAAGATTTTTATCATAACTGAAATGTATCTTTTATATATTTATTGCTTACAATGACACAAGATAGAAGGAAAGAATCTATGCTGTATCAGAGGGTAAAAATAGGCAACTAAATTTCCAGATTTTTCTAAGTTACAGGTAGGATATTTCGCCTATATAGGCTGTGGCTTCCTTCTGTAAAAGAATCTTTCTGTAATACAAAATTTATATGAAAATAAAACATGGGAGGGAAGGGAGTTTCTTGGGAGTGCTGTGTTTATACTTTC